GGGTTTCTGTGGTGCTGCTTCCCTCTCGTGCACAAACACGTGCAGGCCACTGTGAAGCGCAGCAGAGTGAATGTGGGCGGCGCCACTCCAACCCGACACCATAAACGGTCCAATTGACACGTGAACATAGCGATCTGGGTCAAAGTTCTTGGGCCCGTGTGCAGCCTGTTAGCAGCCTGTTAGCAACGTTGGCGGTTAGCTGCAGCTCAGCAGGACCTGTGATCAGGAAGCGGCTGTACCCGGCGTGTCTGGACTCGACCTGCGGCGCCGTCGCTCCACCTTCAGACGGGCTCAGAGGGAGCCTGCAGGGAGGAGCTGCTCTGGAGATACAGCACGGTGCTGAACACCTGGACCCACCACGGCACACCGCTGCTGTCAGGGAACCAACCGGGACTCTAGGTACCATGAGTTCTGCTGCAGGGTTCTGACCTGGACCGTCTCTGGTCAGAAGAACAACCACGGAACCAACCAGGGACTCACAGTAAAGACACAGAATGAGCTGAAAGAGACTCAAACGGACCGCGAGGAGGTTCCGATCAACCACAGACACGTTTAACGGACAAGAACCCTAAAACATGGAAATGAAGGAGTGAATGATAATAATCAGACGTTCTTCTCAGTTTAGCTGCACAGATTTGACCTGTTTGACCTGTCTCACTGCTTAGCGCTGGACTGTTCAGCAACACGACTGCATTTAAATCAGCTGCATGATCAGTACTTTACAGATTCTGAACGGTTTTTTAGTTTTAATTTCTGGTGATTTCACAGCCTGAGCTGGACTCACAGCTGCAGAAAGATCAACACAGAAGCATTAAAATAATCATCCTGAAAGATCAGCTGTCAGCACAAAGTCACCGCTAAAGATGCAAAATCTCCAATCAAGATGTAAAACTAGCCCAGAACGATGAAGCTTCACCACAAAGAGATGAATGTACCACAAAAATGACCTACAACAGAGCAGAAGTTACCACAAAACGAGGAAAGGTCTCCACTAAACACACACAAAATCAAAAATCACAAAAACAGAAAGACACAAAATCACAACGAAGCCAAAGGTGAATGTAGAACATCAGGTGTGAAATCCCTCAGATTGCTAATAATCCTGACATCACCTGGAAAAGAAGCCAAACACCCACAATAAGAACTGGACTATAAAGTTTCCTTATGAAGAGGTGAGCGTCGCACAGAGAGGCTGTCCTGCTGACTTCCTGTTCAGATCCTGAGTCTGTTTCCTCCTCCAGTCCAACCAGACAGCAGCTGACGAGCAGTGAGGTGTGCTCATCCAGCTGCTGCTCAGGACAAACATCTGGAAGTGTTAAAACTCTGATGAGCGCAGCAGAATCCCTCAGCAGCCAATCACAGCCACACTTCCTGGATGCTCTCTGCCAATCAGGACGCAGGCCAGAGCAGACGGGCGGTCCGGTTCGAGTTTCAGCGCAAGTAGAGGAAAAGACGAGGAGGACAGCAGAGAGAAGACGGAGGAGAGCTTAGAAGCTCTGGAGTAGAAGGAAAGAAAGAAAGACGTAAAGTCCTGTTTCCAGTCAGAGTGTAGTGTTGGTGACCTGAAGCTCGCCTGGTTTCAGCTCCGGCTCTGAAGACCAGCAGAGGAGGTAGGAAGCTGAACGTGGCCTTCACAGAGAGCGAGGGCAGCTCTGCTCGCCTGCCTTTCCCTTTTCCTTCATTTTCTGTCAGACTGTGTTCTGAGGTGGAAGACGAGGGAATCGACCGTGAGCTTCGTGTTTCCATCAGAGCAGAGACGCTCACAGCTTCTTCTGTTTAACTGTCCTCCTGCAGGTTCTGTAGGTGGCGCTCTTCTCTTTGGGATTCTTCATATTTATTTAAAACAGACATCTGGAAACTTTTACTCACAACACAGAAGGAAGGCGTTTAAATATTCGGTGTAACGCTGATGATGTGGTTGTTTGTGACTCAGTGTGTGACGTCAGCAACCTGCTG